CCCAACTTGCCTTTTGGTCATGGTATTTCATCACAGTAATAGACACCCTAGCTAAGATAATTACTAACATTAATTAGCAATTATTGATAGTTAACTATACATAAATCACACATTACACATCACACAGATAATATATATATATATATATATATATATATATATATATATATGCAACAAAATGGCAGGAAAGAGCCAAAGAGGCCACAGTGAAGTTCAAGGAGTTTCAAAGAGCCTTGAGGGTCAGACATGCAAACATTCTCTTGAGTCAGTTAACAAACCCTGTTGGTCTACTGGAGGTAGACTTCTGGGGTCAGAGTTGAAATGCCTGGTGTGGTGGAGCCATACAAGACAAGGGCAAAACTGATTGAGTCTAAACAAAGAAACAGACAGACAGGTGGGCAGCAGAGCCAGATGGATATATGGGTGGAGAAGCAGACAGCAATTTGAACAGACATCAACAGCAGAGACCAAGCCTATCTGAGACCCTTTATGGTTGCAAGTTCTCTAACTTCCAGTCCCTTGATGCACACATTCAGTGGTCTCATGACAGGTCAGGATTAGTGTCTTCACAATGTCAGATGTCCTCATTGTTATGGGGTCCAGATGAGGAGGAAGTTGCACTCTTTCCTTAGTCTGATATGTCCAGTGAGTTCTCAGGCCTGGCTTTCTTGATATGACTTTAACACTCCCATGTGCTCTTCCAGCCAGCTTCGCCCTGATAAATGTACAGGGTGGCATCTTGTATATTCCAGGAATAAATCATGTCAACTCTTATAAATGAAAATATTTAATTGGGGTGGCTCACTTACAGTTTCAGGGGTTCAGTCCATTATCATCATGGTGGGACATGGCAGCATTCAGGCAAACATGCTGAAGAAGTGGCTAGAAGTTCTACATCTTGCAGGCAACAGGAAGTCAACTGAAACACTGGGCAGTATCCTGAGCACAGGAAACCTCAAAACCCACTCCCACAGTGACATACTTCCTCCAACAAGGCCATACCCACTCCAACAAAGCCATGCCTCCTAATAGTGCTACTCCCTATGAGATTATGAGGGCCAATTACATTCAAACTACCATAGGCACATTTTCTGCTCCTGCTCCTGGCACTTCCTGCCACCTGTTCTATTGCACCACCTTTCCATGCTGACAATGGCACAGAACTCAATCAACTCTTTGTTTGAAAAATCCCATGCACTTTATCCCCAACACTGGGCCATTAGTTCTGCAAATATCCCCTTGGGCTGCCTTCCAACCTGCTTAAGTCTGTCTTAACTACATTGAAGTCTGTTTCCTCTTGCCCTCAATACTTGCCAAACACTCTCACCTGCCTCTCATCTTAAAAAACAAACACATAATAATAATAATAATAATAATAATAATAATAATAATAATAATAATAATAATAATAATAATAATAATAATAATAATAATAATAATAATAATAATAATAATAATAATAATAATAATAATAATAATAATAATAATAATAATAATAATAATAATAATAATAATAATAATAATAATAATAATAATAATAATAATACAAAATAAAACCAAATCCTGGTACATCAGATTCCATGTGGATTTGAACCTTAGAAAAAAGCAAAAATTCAAATCCTTTGAATTCATGTTTTCTGGTCATTCAACAAATAATACTTATTGCATGCTTACTGGTGACAGGGGTGAAAATTAGTGCTGAGCATGTAGAAAAGCTATCTGGACAGGATTTTGGTCATGGAGAAGCCTGTGGTCCAAGGAGAAAACAATAAGCAAGCAGGAAATTACAGCACAGAGTGAAAAGGGCAACAGCAAGAGGAAACACGAGATGGGGTGGAGAATGCAGGCTGGGAGCTGGTTTGGGTACCTGTTGAAAAGATAGAAGACCATTCCAGAAAAGTAACAGCAGCACAGATTCCAGATTGATCAGGATTCAGACTTAAAGCCAGAGTTGTCCCTCAAGTCTCCTCTGCACCAAAAGAATAGTGGGCCCAGCTGCAAGGAGCTTCATGTCTTTCCAGGAATCCCTGGCCATTCTTTTGCACGAGGAAACGATGCCTTTTCTTGGAACCTTAGCTCTTGGAAACACTATGCCTTCTGATGGTGCCAGCACCATTCCCTGTGAGGTCTCCCCTTCTCTGCTATGGTCCCTTTAAACTGTAGGTGGGATGACAGAAATAACACACATATATCAAAGCCACCTGAGCACTCAGCAGTGTGATCAAGATGTCAGGAGTGCAGCTATAAAACTGATGGACAGTCTTGCTGCACAGTGGATGCAACAGTCTGAGATCCTGAAAACCTGGGGTCTAAACCATCTTCTCTGACCTGGTGACTTGGAGTAAATTCGAAACTCCTTACAGTGAATCTTGTCACTTTCCCTTGCTAAGCACTGGATCGTGACTACACACATGCCTGTGCACACACTTACATGCAAGTGCACATTGGTGCCCCTGTGGATATATGGTCCAAATGTGTGCACATGGTTAACTTTTCAAATATAAATGACAGGTATCTGAGAAATCAACACCCTGTGTGTGTGTGTGTGTGTGTGTGTGTGTGTGTGTGTGTGGTTTCTTTTGAGACAGTATCACTATGAAACCCCAGCTGTTGCTAAATTTGCCGCAACCCCACTCCCCACCCCCATATCCTGGGATTACAGGCATGAGCCACCACCCAGCTTTTCTTCTTAATTAACACAAATTTTATAGAGTTCATTGTGAGAGTTTAATACACTCATATGACAAATTTGTACTTCTTAAATTTTGTGAGTGATTAAAGTTATTCATGGTAAAGTTAGTAAACAAAATTCCCATCCTCCAGCCACTGTTGACTCTGTGGTCTGTCTTCCTGCCTAGGCAGCCTTTGGGGTTCTGCCCTCCAGCCCCCCCCCACCCCCCGTGGAGAAACATGCTCAGGACTGAATGGATGTTCATGAGCTCAGCTCCTTAGCTTTGTCTATATTTACACCAGTCTCCTGTTGCCCTGAGAAGTATCCACGTTCTGTCTCTAACTGTGACATAGAAGGTTCTGCACCAGTGATCTTCAAGATGAGTAAATAAGTGAGTTATGGAAGTCTTAGGAGGCCTCAGAGCCACACAAAGCAAGCAATTCCGGCCACAACTTAGTTCGTTCAGCAAAACATCCCTCGTTCAGTCACAGTTCTCAAAAACCTTGCCTAATGTAACTGGCTGGCAGCTCCTATGTAAAACATGGCCATGGTGCCAGTTAGCAGCTGTAGCAGATCACCAGGGTGGCAAGTCCAGCACATAGGTTCGTAGCCACTCCTGATGCACAATGGCAAGGGGCTGGGTGATGCCAGGGCTCACTTGAGAGGTGAGGCCCCATAAATTTGTGACTAAACAATGTGATCTGGGCTGTGGTCCTGCCCTTCGTTTCCCTTCTCCACCCCCACTCCATCTTTCAGGCCCTTTGTCTCTACCTAGGTTGGGCCATGTCATCCCAAAGAGAGAAACACGGTTGGGTTCTGTTGACATGGGCGTCTAAAGGAAACGTAGTGGGCTGGGGACATGGCTCAGTGGGGAAAGTGCTTGCTGCACACGCATGAGGAGCTAGGTATGAATTCCCAGCACCCACATAAAAGCAGGCGTAGTGAGTGATACGTGCCTGGGACCCCAACATGGGAGAAGCAAACACAGGCAGATCCCAGCAGCCTGCTGACCAGCCTATCTAGCCAAAAGACAATCTGCAGATTCAGGGAAGCCCTGTCTCATGAAATGCTGTGAAGTGAGGCTGAAGAAGATTCTCAAAATTGTGCTCTGGCCTCCACACATGCACACACTGGCAAGCTACACACACACACAAACACACACACACACACACACACACACACACTCACACTCACAAGAAAGCAGAGAGGTGCATACTCTAAAATCAAGAAGCTTTTAAAAAAAATTGTTTCACCATTGAAATAAAACAAAATTGTTCAGCACTTCCATTGTACAAATGAAATCAGCTTCGGTTTAAGATGTATGTTTCTGTTCAAAAGTACTTTTTTAAAGTGTGTTTTCTGAGAAAACCATTGTAAACGCGTATTTCGGTCTAAAAATATAAATACTATCCTTTCGGAAGTGGTCACTCCCTTCCCCTCAGACGTGAGGAAACACGGCTGCTCCAACTGTGGTGAGGTTTTAAAGGGGGGGGGAGGGGGAAAGGAAGGCTAGCACCCACTCATGAAGCAGCCAGGGGCCAAAAAGCTGTGGAGCGGGTGGAACTGCCTTCCTCAAGGTCATGTCCTACCTTCCGTCTTCTGTGGGTTGGATGTTAAATAAATCTAAATAAAAGTCAACAAAGGCCTTTTCATTCTGGGGCCTGCAAACATGTGGGCCTCAGGTCTGAGACCTGAGTCTCTCCTACCTTCCAGGGGCTGAATGAGTTTCTGGAATTTGCTTAATAATCCTACAAAATGACTTTCTTCACAGAAAATCTAAACATGAGCCCCACCTGCCCTCCTTCAGAGGGTGACCCCTCTTTCTTCCTCCAGGGCTCCCATGCCCTGACTTGTCTGAAGTACGTGATTAGCAGGACACCAGAGTAAAGTTCTTTTCAGGGGCTCTGACTGTTTTTCATGAAGACTTAACAAAAGCCATTTCGAGAATGAAGCTCTTTCAGGCTTAGTGCTGCCCAGCCATGAAGACCTGAGTGAGGAACTCACCTGGCTCTGAGGGTCAAAGGCAGTAAGTACCTCAGCACAACACGAGTTTCCAAGGTGCAGGTGAACGTGCAACACCATCAACAGCAGCAACAGAGAGAGTGTAATTTAGGTGCTGGGGAGTTTTGTATCTAGTTAGGAATGATCATGATCAATAAGCACAATTGTCAGGCATGGTAGTGCACACGTCTGTAAGTCCAGCACTTAGGAGATAGAGGCAGAAGGACTAGAAGTTCAAAACCACCCTTAGCTACATAGAGAGATTGGACAACATGAGACCATGTCAAAAATGAAAAAATAAAAACATTGTTAAGAGACAAAAGTGACACTGCAGCCTATTAAGACAAACGGGGTCCTTCCCCCACAGGTACCTGGTGCACAGTGGCTGCAAACAGCCATCTTCTTGGTAGTGTATGTAGCCTGTTGCTTGTAAGGTTTTCACTAAGGGCCTTGGCAACAGATTTCTGGTAGAAATATTCGTTTCTCTTTGTTTCAGTGTTTTCCCAATCTAGGCTCCAACAGGTACTCTGATGCTTTGGGAAGCCCTGGGCATGATGGGCATATTGGTCATGTTTCACATTGGCCAAGTCATCTTGTCCATCTGCACCAAACTGCAGACATGTACACACATATGACTGAGGCCCATCACATGTGTGCCTAGTGCCCACTGAAAGCAGAAAAGGGCATCGAATCTCCTGAAACTGGAGTTGAGAACTACCTTGTGGGTGCTGGGAACTGAACCCAAGACCTCTGTATGAGTAATGAGAACTTTTAACTCTCCAGCCTCTTGTGGTTTTCTTATTTGGTTAAGCAAATCTAAACCCAAGGAGCCCATGTTCAAACTTAAATCAGCAAGGAGAAAGCTTCTCATTTTGAATGAAGAGACATAGAAAAGGGCAATACTGGTTTCAAACATATTCAGTCTTTGAGAATTAGTGGAAGCCTAGTATAGTGGCACATACCTTTAATCCCAGCCCTTGAGAGGCAGAACCAGGTAGAGCTTGTGAGTTCAAGACCAACCTGGTTAAGTTCTCAAATGGTCAGAGCTCCACGATGAAACCCTGTCTCAGAAAAAAGAAAGGGGGAAATAAATGTTTTTTTCTCACCTGTATCTAAGAAATTTAGCCTTTGTGAAGTTGATCTTACTCTCCCTGTGAGCATAAAAGTCACAGGTCATCTATCACTGCCTTGTGTACCACTCACAATTTTCAAATATTCTTTCTTCATAAGGTCTGCACAATGGGGTTAATATTGATGAGAGATTCTAGCTGACTCACTTAGCCATCCAAGCACTAAGTTACCCATCCCCATGCAGTTGTTTTCTCTTCTTTGAATGCATCCCTTGGGCTGAAATGAACACATTGCTCTCCCCAGCAACTCCGTGCCAACCATGCCCCTACAAGTTTGTGACTTTGCCATTTACGGCCCCAATTTCCCTATCTTTGTGTGTTAGGAAAATTCTGACTCCATTTTCATGCTAGTTGTATTGATGTAGCAGCAGACCCATGAGCTAGCACTAGACAAGGAAGGACATAGGTGTGCTGGTTCTAGGGTTCCTCTACTCCTGTCTCCAGAAATGCTCCAGCTCTTAAAATTATCTGCCAATAGCCCTTATGAATCTAACAATATCGTTGGCTACCAGGATGCTTCTTTAAGCAGGCTTAGTTCTTGGATACTCTTCGGACTCTTCAATTGAGCCTCTGAGTCTTTAAAAACTTTTTTCCATCCAAGAATATATATATATATATGTATATATATATATATATATATGTATATATATATACATATATATATATATTCAATTTTAAATTTCTTGTTTTTAAACAAACTTTCACATATTCCCATATATCATGAAATTCTTATGTGCAAATCCGTAAGTTTTAGTGCAATCATGCCCCCACAGAATGGAGTTTTGACCAATAAGGAAGCCCATGTAAGGCACTGGTTATTATTGAATATTAATATAATAGTCAATATAATATCATTTAAGATTGAATCAAGTTGTGATAGCATAGCTGTCGTTGTGAAGGTGTATGTCATGGTGTTTGTTCCATGATGAAATTATCTAATGTCACGTTTCTCAGTAAGTGTCCCATTTATTAAGCAACCCACGACTGTCTGTCTGTTCAACGGCTTGCACAACCCAAGTCACAGCCTAATTTTTGATCATTCTTGTCACCCTCAAAGTAAGCCGTATTGCTATCCCCAGTTATCTTATGACACAGCTCCTTCAGTCTGTTATTTTGGATTCTAATTAACTTACTTTCTTTCTATACTTTCCCATTCTGAGCATTCCATGAACAAGGTCTTATGCAGTATGTGGTGTTCTGGAGTATGTGGTGTTCTGTGACTGGCTTCATCCATGCGCTCAGCCCATTTCTAGACTTCATCATATGTTGGTGAGTTCTATACTTTCCTTGGAATCTGATGAGCTGATACAGAATAAGTCCATTTTGCCTAGCCAAAGATCAGTACTCTCCTAACAGACTCCGATCCAACCTGATCTTTTACCTCTTTTGTGTCTCCTTTGTCTCTTACGGTTTATTATGCTAGATTTTAAGAGGTAGATTCAGAACAACCTGGGGTGTCTGTTGAAGTCACCAGAGGCAGAGGGGAAGAGATGGATAACTATATGGAGTAGCAAATTTATGACCTGAAGTCATCTGCTGCCCTCTACCCTCTCTCTAGGCTGGTTAGTCTTTATTGTCAGCTTGACACCTGGGAGGCACCTGGAAAGAGAGAAACTCAACCAAAGAATGCACCAGATCAGATTGGTCCATGAGGGATTGACTTGACTGGCCATTCATATGGCACCCACTGTGGGTGGCACCGTTCCTAGGCAGATGAGCCTGGGCAATACAAGAAAGCTAACCAGTGAGTGAGCCAGAGAGCCAGCTACCAAGCAAGCAGTGTTCCTTCCTTGTTTCTACTTCAAGCTGTTGCCTTAACTTCCTGCTCTGACTTCCTTCAGTGAGGAGAGTGTGAGCCAAGTAAACCCTTTCCTCCCCAGATTGCTGTTGGTCAGAGCAGTTTTATCATAGCAACCAGGAAACAAACTGGAACATCTCTTTAGGCTGCCTTCTGGTGTTTCCTACCTTTGGAGTTTATTGTTTTGTTTTTTTGTTTTGGGGTTTTTGTTTTGTTTGTTTTGTTTTGTTTTGTTTTTGTAGTTCCACTCAATGTTGATCACTGAACTCAATTTTCCCCTCTTAAAACACTAGGAAAGAAAGGTAAGGAAAGCTGTGTGATTTCACCAGAATGTGTGCTTGACTTTGCTCTAGCTACTGCTTCTGACCCCAGCATTTGCAGGTTCCAGCCTAGACTGCTCCGGAATTCAAGTCTTCTCAACTGCCATCCTTGTTTACAACAGGGCCATCCCAACCCACAGTCCTGATAATTCACCCCACTTGTGTGTGGCCTCATTGCAACCAATCTCTGTTGTCACTGCTCACGGGTTTTCTGTCAGATTATGGAGGAGAAAACTTTAATGGTTCAGCCAAATCCCCCACTTTGCTCCTTTCCTTGTGTAGTTACTTTTTGCTTCCTCGGAATTGTGGAATTTTGCTCTCTTGGTTGAGTCAGACAACTTTGCTTCTGAGAAGTTGACTTCCCCTCAGGAGGGCTTGGAGCGGTTAGTTCACCACCCCCTCTGCCTTGCGTGACAGGATGCTGTGTGCATGCCTGACAGAATCCAGGACATAATCCCTCACCCTCTACTTGTTAAATATGTATTTTGAACTTGATGTGGCTTTCAGCTTCAGCTTTCGTCATGGCTGTGGCCAGCACCAAGAACTGCCCCAGAGGGCCTTGCCCTCACACTTCACTCTCCCACAGAGAGACCTGCTCTCATCCGTAGAACATGCTCAGCTGGCAGAGGGAATTTTTATCACATTAAAAGAAGAAAAGTACTAACGACCATCATTCTCCATCAACCCTGGAAGGGAGGTCAACTTGAACGAAGCACACACATCAAACACACTTCAGGGGAGCTAAACTAAGCCAACTTGTTCCAAAAGTTGAGTTTTTTGCAGTGTTTTATTTTTGGTGTTCAATCAACTTCAAATTCCAAATATTTATGGTTCCTGACAGCAGGCTGTCTTCTTTGCAACATGGCTGCCCTGAGGCATTGTTCTTGCCTGTCTGCAGTCTAGGGAGAGAATGACAGACAGGGTGAAGGACGGCACTCTTTTTGGCAACAATAAGCCATAGTCCTCAGCTGAGGGGCCTAGGATAGCAACGGCCTTCAGAAAGGAGCTGCTGGCCCCAGTGTGGTGGCCCACACTTAGAATCCCAGCACTTAAGAGCTCAAGGCAGGAGGATCACAAATTGGAAGTCAGGCTGGACTACACTGAGAGAACTTGTCTAAAAATGTTTTCCTAAGAAAAAGGAAGAAGAAAAAAAGAAAAACAAGGCCTTCCTGGCCCTCCAGATCTTTCTCCTCAGCCTTTTGCTCAGACTCCTGACCAACTTAAAGATAAAACATTAGCACCACACAAATTAGACTTTATGGTATTAGCAACTGCAAAACAGAAGAGATTAAGTGCTTGTTGTGTGGTAAAAGCTAAAACTAAAAAGAAACACCTTAAAAATGGGAACTGCATGGGCTGGTAAGATGGTTTAGTGGGGGAAGACACTGGCTGCCAAGCTTGACAGTCTGAATTCAATCCCCAGAATCCACTTGGTGGGAGAGGAGAGAACCAACTCCTACAAGTTTTCCTCTGACTTCTACCTGTACACATACCATGTGCACAAACCCCCATCCACCACCACCACCACCACCACCACCACCACACACACACACACACACACACACACACACACACACACTCGTAACTTAAAAGATGAGAATCTTATAAAAAACAAAATATGAAAACATTTTGTGTTCTGTTATGTTCATGGATCAAGGTGGACAGTGAGGTGAGGTGGGGTGGGGAGTGGGTGGGGGTGGGGATGTATCCCAGTAATCTCCCAACATTTGTGAGCTACTCCATACTTATAATTATTGCTAAATTTCATTTCCCCCAAGAGGCCTCTTTTTTTATTTGCATTAGAAACAAGATTGTTTTACATGACAATTCCAGTTCCCTCTCCCTCCCATCCTCCCCTACCATCTCCCCACCCCCCAACTAAAAACCTACCTATCACACATCCTTTCTGCTCCCCCTGGATGGTGAGGCCTTCCATAGGGTGTCATCACAGTCTATCCTATCCTTTGGGATAGGGCCTA